TCAGTCTGCAGCGAGCAGGCTCGCCCAGCGCCCCGTGCGTGGGCCGGAAAACCGGCCGGGGCGCCTCGCCCGCACCAGCCCGCGAGCGCCCCCCGCAGGCGGCCTGCGCCCGGGAAGACGGAGCGCGCTCCTGGAACCTCCAGGTTCCGCAAGTCTGGAACAGCCCTGCGGCCCTCGCAGGCCTAGGGGGGTGCAGCCCCCGCGCCTGCGGGAGAAGGTCGGTTTGCCCCGGTTCTTGCCGACTGTTCCCAGCTGTGGTCCCGAACCCGTCCCGCCAGGAGCCGGGTAAGGGCAGGGCAGACCCTAGTGGGTTTTAGAAATTTTGATTAGATATCTTTAAAAAAAACAAAATCCAACAGACTTACTGAGATGATGAACGTCCACCCAATGCGCCTCTTTAAAGTGTACTGTGGAGGTGTTGGTGGCGCTCACCTGCAATGCAGCGCTTAGGAGGCTGAGGCAGAAGGGTCCTGGTGAGTTCTGGGCAGCCTGAAAGTCCTAGTGATAATCCCCCCCCGCCCCCCCGCAAACCGAAAATGAAGTGTACCATTCACTCACAGGACAGCAACCCTCACACGGTCGGGACAGTTACACTGGAGCCTATCTCCCTGCGAACACCCCACCCCACATCCCTGCTCCAGGCTCCCCAAGGGCCCCAGCCTGGGCAGCGCGCACGGTCGCTGTCTCCGAGGCTTTGACCATGAAGGCACGAGATCCTTTTTGACTGGCTTCCTTCGCTTCAAATATTTTGAAGTACTGCAGTCCTTCTACCTTCTATGGCCTGCAAAAGACTTTGTTGATTCGGCGCTTAGTCGACATTCGGATTTACCCCATCTTTTGGCTATTACACAGAATGCTGCTGTGAACGCGTGTGTGCAGGTCTTTGTGTGGATATATTTTTCCTCTTCTTTGGGTGAGTACTCAGGAGTACAGCTGCTGTGCTAAGTGATTACTCTACGTTTCACTTTTTTTGGAAGTGGTGAACTCCTTTCTCATCGTTTGACCTTCTCACGAGCCGCAGAGTAGGCGTGTTGTATTTCTCCACGTCCTCACCAACACTTGCTATTGTCTGTTTTTGTTTTTTTTTTTAATCATAACCACCCTGTGGGTGCGCCCATTACTTTAATTTTCTTGAGATGGAATTTATGCTACATAAAGCTTATTTTTGAAACATAAACTATTCAGTGATCTTCAAAGCATAGTCTCTAGGTTGTACCACCGTCCCCACGGTCTGGTAGGGAAATGTTCCCAGGCCTCCGCCCTCTTCAGTCCCGCGCACCCCCGGCATCCACTGATCACTTTCTTCTGCTATAGCTTTGGCTAATCGGAACGTTTCCGATAAATGGAATCGCATAATATGTAACCTCCTGTATAATCACCTGGGGAGCAACATGTCCATAGTGCTCTTGAAGATTCATCCACGCCGTAGGTAGCATTACTAGTACCTCACATTTTTCCTTCTTATTACTGGAAAATACCCCACTGTACAGGTGGGGCTGAGTGCTTTCTGAGCCCTTGATGTCCTCTCTTTCCCTTCCCTGTCCCTGCCTGAGCACCTGTGTAGTGGCCTGAGGACACACGGCACTTTCTGGTGGTTACAGCAAATCCATTATTATGCAGAGCTAAGCTTGAATTATTTAGTGAAGGCTCAATAAAGAATTTCTACTTATTTCTTAAAATAGTCTGCTTAGTTTAACAGCATAGCAAATGTGATTCATTGCTTAGGTGACTTTGAGGAGTTGAGAATATACTTTATTAAGGAGGGAAAAGAAAGGATTTACATGTTGTTTAAAATATTTGTTTTTCCTTTAATCTGCAGAATATCTTTTATAATTAACAAGAGAATTTTTTTAAGAGAGAGCACTTAATAGGCAGAAGAACCAGCTAATTTTGGAAATATTGTTGATCTAGATGTGGCATGTGCAATTAATGAAGATGACCATAACCAATGAGGCTAAATTTTCTATACTTAAAGGTTGTAATTCATCATGTAAAAGAACAGAAGGAAAGAAAGAAAAGGATGTATATCAGATGGATGGGATTTAGTTAGAACAAGCTATAGTTCAGAATGGTCAAATTTTACATACATTTCAAAATAATCCAATCTGGTTTGTAGCTGCATGGTGATTAAACTATTCTACAAGCTCATACTTAATCTTTATGTGACGTAAGAGCTCATATACTTTTATTTAAGGCTTACAAAATATTTTGAGATAATTTCTATTTTTCTGCATTTCAAAGTCAAAAGTAGAGGGGAAAGGAGAAGGGTATGCGTTTTGTGGGTGTGTGGGTGAGTGTGTCACCTAACACCCAAGTGTTTTTTGTTTGTTTCTCAAGGAGTCCCGACACGCAGTGCTCAGCACTGTCTTAGGAGCAGTAATGGCTGTGTCGGTTAGGAAGTACTAAGTGGTGCTGTGGGCCTCCCTCGGAGCTTGCTGGCTTTCCCCAGCAGTTCCTGCAGGAAATCTTCCTCGTTCTGTCCTGAGGGTCCAGAAAGTCCTCACGCGTCTGGTGGCCCCTCTAGGACAGCCTGTTGCTGTGCTGTGGTGCTGAGTAGAACTTGCAGCAAAGGCGCACCGCCACCAGCCTGGCGAGGGCAGGGAGCCCTCATGACAGGCAATTCACTGAATCCATGACATATTCCAAAGTCACTTTGAACATGGAAGCAGTGAGGCCAGAACTGTTGCTGGTGTGGAAATACAGAATTAGGTTTTCATGACCATATGGCCACCATATTTCTATCAACTAATTTGTATGT